TGCCAGACGCAAACTTCCGCCAATCCATGGCAGCAGGGGGTGGTTTACACGAGCCAGGAAAAGGCCGAGAACCCGACAATAACATTATACAACCTGCCACACCAGACGAACAAATATTAAGACACCTAAAAAACAGAAAAGCCCCTGTACCTGACCAAATACACAACATTACACTAAAACGACTACCACACAGTACTACTAAACATAACAAACGCTACACTCAGACACTTCCCTACACGCTGGAAAACAACAAATAATCCTCATCCCTAAACCCAACAAAGACCATACCTTCCCTTCCAACTACCAGCCCATCAGTCTACTCCCGGCTATTAGCAAAGTGGTAGAAAAAATAATCCTCTCCCGTCTAAAAACCCACTCCGAAGAACTGCGAGTCATACCTGACCAACAGTTCGTCTTCCGCCTTAACCACTCCACCAAACTCCAAATTCTACGCCTCACGTCATGCCCCTACGTCATGTCATGGGGACAGTTCACCGGAGCTGTCTTCCTGGATGTCGCAAAAGTCTTCGATACGGTCTGGCATGAGGTCCTACTAATGAAAATGCTCACCAACCAATACCCCATTTCCTTTGTCGAACTCACTAAGTCATACCTCCACAACCGAAAATTCCGCATCCAAATCCAAGATTCCCTTTCCACCACCCGTCCCATGGAGGCCGGTGTCCCGCAGGGCTTCGCCCTATCCCCACACCTCTACACTATTTACAAACACATACCTATACGCCGAGGACCTGACCATAACAGCACAATCCATAAATGCAACACACGCTACCACACACTTACAGAACGCTCTAAACCAACTTGAAATCTGGTGCAACAGGTGGAAAGTCTAAATTAACCCCAACAAAAGTACTGCCATAATCTTTACTAGACGCAAAATTCCCCCGACCTAGATATACTGACACTGTCCCAGGAACCTATTTCCTGGGGCCGGCATACGCCATACCTGGGTGTGATAATGGACCGGCGACTTACGTAGAAAACGCACATTGCGGAGACAGTAGCGCGAGCGACCACCAGGGCTAAGCTCTATCCTTTACTCACGGTGAGCAACACTCAAGTTGCAAGTAAGCGAACGCTAATCAAGGTGGTACTTCCACCGCAGCTAACCTACGCTAACCGCGTCGTGGGGTTACGCGACAAAAAGCCACATTAAATCACTCCAGGCTGTGTAAAACATAGCCTTACGAACGACCACCGCCTCGCCATGTTAAGTAAGAAACACCGACATTTTACGAGACTTAAAATACACTAATGCAACACAGACAATACGTACACACACCCAAAAATGCATGAACGCAGCTGCGAATCACGACAACCCACTCCCTAGACAAGCCGTTGACTACGTACCTGACGTGACAGACACATACAGACGACCTAGAAACTTACTTATTGACCCGGGATGACTACATGAACCTGATTCTCCTCCCCCCCCCCCATACTAACCTTATATGTTTCAGGAACAGCCAGGACCAAAAGGCACCAAAGAAGAGACAAATTACAAAAAACTCGCCCCCTCGAACCGCGGCTTTTTGCCGCGGAAACACTCCGCTTTTACCCTGACGTACCCTTTCTCCGTACCGGCCCGCGAGTCACCGACTCAAAGGCCGCGTGTATTCCCTAGCTACAAGCTATTCCTCCCCCGGGGGCTAGAGAAGCCGACGAAGAAAGAAAAATCAATACACGAAGAACGTCAGAAGAGGCTCCCCTGCCGGCGGGGGCCAGCCAGGGCAAGAGGAGATCCCGCAAAGTGCCTACACCGGCCATGCTTGTGGTCGGGGTAGACGATGAACGGGGCCCACCTACACGAGGCTGCCCCGGCCTACAGAGATAAGGCAGGACAAAGAGGGATAGTTCCTCTCGGTCCCAAATTATTGAGGCCACTCTGGTTATATTTCTGCCGATGGGTCGGGTTGTCGTTAATCACAGGCAGGGCCATCTCCGTTATAGTCCAGGAGAATTACACATTGACATGGCTGTTGCTTGACGTAACTTGGATATTGGTAAAAATCGGTCGAAAATAATATATACAATGAAAATATAAGGTTGCGCCAAGAAAAAAAGTTGTGCTATTTGCAGAAAAAATTAAAAACTGCAAAAATACTCAAAAATGACGTGTTTTTTCTAACATTTTCCAACATAACTTCTTAAATATGCAGTTTACAGAAAAAACTATTACTGATACTTTGTTATGAAATTTGCTACAAGATAGAATTGTTTTGATACCTGCGCATGTCATATTTTTGTTGCTAAATAGCCAAAACAACATAACAAAGTGATGAAAATCGAGGTAATTTGGAAGCGTCAAACTGACAGGCAAGAAATTGTCCAATTCTACTATAAATATAGATGTAAGTACTTTAAACGATTATAAAACGAAATTCCAAAACCCAATCCAAATCGGTCTGATAGTATTGGTATGAGACAATTTGTTACTAAATTTCAGCGCGAAATGTCGTTATTTTTTTTTACGTGAGTGCTGGGGTTAAAGTTAGGCATTTTAATTGGCGCTGATTTTTTTACACTTACTTGGACCCTTGGACCCCTTAACAATCATATAGAATCGTTAGGATATCAATTTTCATTTTTTGAATAATTTTTGGAGCGAATTTAAAAGTTAGACAAATTTTTACTTTATAAACAATTACTTTCGTGAAGCGGTTTTGCGGGTTGGAAAATATACCAAAGTACTAAAAAACAGTTCTCGGAAAGACGCTTAACTTGAAAAAAAGAACGTTCAAATCGGTCTTTTAAGTTCCGAGATATCGAGTGTCAAAGTCAACAAGCGTTAGCTGCAAAACTATGCATAATGTAACAACAACAAAATATGAATTTGGTAGGTTTTTTAAGAACTTTTCGTATGTGCTTTTATAAATATTATCACACGTGTGCCTTTTCTATGAAAATTCAATGATCGCCAAGCCGACCATTTGAGCCGCAAAACCGGGGGGGGGAGGGGATGAACGATAGAAATTGAAATAGCGCATTCAAAAAGAGCGTGCCCTCTTCGGCGTTCAATATCTCGGCTTCTACGTCTCCGATTTTGATGATTTTTTTAAATCAATATATCATAATGAGTGGAATTCAATTATCAAGATTTCATTAAAATATTATGAAGCCCTATCAGCCTATTACGACTACTTAAAATTTCACACATTTCATTGTTGCTGTATATTCATATAAATAATAATATCGATGGTAGATATACATAGTCCATTGTTAATAGTTATTAGTTTTAATAATTCGTAATAATGTTTAAACCTTGAAATTCTTATTTAATATGTAATTTATTTATTTGATATTTATAAAACGTATCATCGCATTATTAAAGTATTCCTCTTTTTTACAGCATAGTTGCTGTTTTCGGTCTCAAAATTTTCTTCTACAAGCTGTCATACGGTGACGGCCCATTAGAATATTTCGGAGACTACTTCGATTTGAATTTTGAAAATTTGGGACCTGGTGGTTTTGGGGGTTTTATTTAAAAATATTTAAATAAAATAATGCCATTGTTGTTACCGGTTATACCGGTAGTCGCCACCTATTTACTTATTATAAATGGAACATCCTATATATTTTTGCATATTTGGATTCTACGCATAATTTTAGGGGAATTTTATAAAGCATCCCTATATTCATCTCTAATGGTCTAACAGTCTTCGACCTATTTCAATTTCATATTTATTGTCGCATTTGATTGACCGAACCGCCAAAACTTGTTTTTTCTAAATTCGACATCCTGTATATTTAATCAAAATCTGTTGTAAAAATTTACTCTATATCTATCCATATTACATCTCCATATACCTATCTTTTAATTTTTCTGTTTGATGGTTTTTGTGATAAATAAAATGATCCAATTTCTTGCGAGGATGGCTATGTAATTACTAGCAAATTTAAAAAATCAAATTAACCAACCATAACCAATCATAAGTCATTATTTGCTGTTAATCTGACAGTGGTACCTACTTACAATTAGTTAAATACTGTGTTTATAAATTTAATTTATAATTCTTTCTTTTATATATATATATATATATTACATTTAATTTATATTTCTTATTAACATCAAGCTTATTTTTGTTGCTTAATTTATTCATAATTTATTCATAAAATGTCATGTCTTGAATCGGCACGATTCCGCCTGCGCGAGCGAGGAGAAGAAGAAAAGGAAAAACGACATGTGGCAGAAAGCAAATACGCGTATCCTAGGTAAAAGCAGTGCTCGCCTAATTAAAATTTTCGCAAAACGCATAAATACCCAGTGCCGGAGAAAACTCTGAAATCATCGAAGAAAACTACGCCGAAGGGTAAGTGCCGATTCAATTCCATTTCCTTGTTTCATACAGTCCATTTAATTTACTTTTTCTTACACTGAACCAGCGCGTAACGCTAAATAATATGAAATTTACAACATATTAATTGTTCCTTCTCACCCGGATTGATAATAGTTCATTGATAATCAAAAGTAAGCTTGTGAAAAGAAAAAAAGGGGAATAATAAACGATTTGTCTTATTTTCAATTAGTTACATATAATTAAATTCAATTATTAAAGTTCTTAAAACGTTCAAGGTTCTGGTTTACAATCGGTACGCCTGATAAGGCTTCGCACTTTTTGTCTCTTTGTAGAAACACTCTTTGGAGATTACTCTTTTTGTGAGAACAGCTGATTTCAAAATAAAATTAAATTTACGACAGTGTTTACATTTTCAACTTTGCGGGTTTTCAGTCTCTTGTCTGCGCTTTAATATAATTTTATACATATTTTACATAAACGTGTATTCAGTCGCAAATGTCCCAAAACGCAAATAAAATTAAACAATATAAGGCGCTACGCCAAATAAATGTTAATCAGATATCCGAAATGGAAGCCTTCTCAAGAAGGGCAATAGATGATCAAGACTTTCGGGATCAATTTAAAATTTTAACGTCTACCATTGATCAAGTTGCAACAGATTTTAGAAGAAATCATGAAAATATGATTATGCTTATGGCTGTACAAGACGAAAACTTTGACGAAGAGGAAAATGTGCGTAAAGAATTTAACCAAAGTTTATCGCATGTTAGAATAGTGCTGTTACAGATTGCAAGGGAGGAACCCAGTACGGATTCTAAATTTGTCGCGGGTGTTGGCACTGGTAACTCTAGTAATAGTAAAAAAAATATTAAATTACCTCGTATAGATTTACCCAAATTTTCCGGTGAAAATATAACAGAATTCAAAGCATTTTATGATCTTTACAACACGCTTGTGCATGACAACAATGATTTAGATCCTATTGAAAAATTCAATCTTTTAATTACGCATTTGGAAAGTCCAGCATTGTCACATGTTCAGAAAACGCCCCTAGTGTCGGTAAATTATCAAAGCGCGTATGACTCTTTTGTAAACCGATTTTATGATAAAAAGGCTATAGCTTTCACTCTTCTACAACAATTGGAGAACAAACCAGCAAAAAACGCATCTGATTTAAATCAATTATTAATAATTTATGGAGAAAATATTGCTAGTTTAAACAATATGGGTTTTTGTACTGCTGATTGGGATTTCCTCCTTCTTTATTTATTTTCAAAGCACCTCGATGAAAATACACTTACGCAATTTGAATTAGAATACCCTAGTACTAATGCATTAGCTTCTTTTCAATCCTTATTTGATTTTGTTTCATTACGTAATAAAGCAAAAACTTCAGTTCAACGCACTAGATTTAAAACGCAGATTTCTGATAAATCTAAAACAAATATTTCAAACAAATCGCATCATTCTTATCAAAAACCACGAAACTCGTTTTTCCTTAGAGAAAATGAAACTTCATCGCCTTGTATTCTTTGCAACGCTACGCACAAAATTTATTCATGTCCGGTGTTTCACAAAAAAACCGCCCAAGAAAGAAACACGTTCATTCGCCAAAAACAATTTTGTATAAATTGTCTAAGTTCATATCATAATACAAAAAATTGCAAATCGTACCATACATGTAAGTTTTGTAACGCAAAGCATCATTCGCTATTACATATTTTTCGAAATGACAGAAACACTCGCAAAGATTCTTCAAATTCCGCTTCGCAATCAAACGAGATCTCATTCTCGACAGAAAATCGCACAAATGTAGAGTACGCCCCTGGACCGTCAAACAATACTCAGGCTCCAGTTGATAACAATTTAAATAACTCTTCTAGTTTTTGTGGTAAAATAACCTCAAGTTCTCGCACTTTATTGTCTACAGCAAACGTGGAAATTTTAAATATAAATGGAAAATTCAAAAAAATACGCATTTTAATTGATTGCGGCTCAGAAATGAGTTATATTTCAGAAAATTGTTATCGGCGTTTGGGACTCACAAAATACAATTATTCAATTACTGTTCAAGGCCTAGCGCAAATGCAAGATTCAACCTCAAAGGGCGCCGTCACGTGTACTATAAAACCCGTCGACAAAACAAACCCTTTAATTACATTTGATGCAATAATTTTCTCCAAATTATGTAACGAATTGCCTACGTACTCTATTACGAATCATGAAAGATGGACACACATAAAAGGTCTGCCCCTAGCAGATGCCGATTTTTATAAGCCTTCCGAAATAGATATTTTGTTAGGCGCTGAAGTCGTACCCTACGTCTTGTTAGGTAATAAAAAAATCGGTGAAATTAATGAACCGGTAGCACTAGAAACGGTGTTCGGTTGGATATTAATGGGCAAATTGGATAATTCGCGAAATTTAAGTAACACTCATTCATTTTTTCTTGCAAATAAAATCGATATTGACCGTACAATAAAATCATTTTGGGAAATAGAAGAAGTTCCTCAGTTAAATAAAAATTCACCTGATGATGATCTTGCGGAAGAAATCTATCAGAAAACTCATTCTAGAACCGCTGAAGGACGTTATGTCGTTGAGTTGCCGTTTAGAAATTCGGAGCCATTTTTCGAGTTTGAAAATACAAGGAATCTTGCCGTAAAACGCTTTCTTTCGCTAGAAAGAAAATTAAATAATAATTCCAAATTATATTCAGAATATTCTAAAATTATTCAAGACTATATTGATAAGAAAATTTTAGAACCCGTCATAGACAATAAAAAAATTGATAATGTGTTCTATATTCCGCATCATTGCGTAACCAAGTCCGGTTCTGACGCGCTGCGCATAGTCTACGACGCTTCTGCTAAAACTAATTTTGGTTCGTTAAACGATCAGCTTCTCCCTGGTCCAAAGTTGCAAAACGATATTACGCGCATTTTACTTAATTTCAGAATTCACCCGGTAGTTTTTACCAGTGACATAAAAGGCATGTTCACACAAATATGTGTCGCAAAAAATCATGTCGACTATCAACGTATAGTTTGGAGATTTTCTCCCCAAGAAGACATCAAAGACTATAGATTATTACGAGTTACATTTGGATTGTCCTGTTCACCCTTTTTAGCAAATCGGACAATAATTCAACTAATAAAGGATGAGGGCACGCGATTTCCAAATGCGGCAAAAATTCTGGAAAACGATATTTATGTCGATGATGTGGTTTCTGGATCGTACTCGCTCGAAAATGCAATACGCACACGTGATGAACTGATAGAATTGTGTAATCGCGGAGGATTTGAACTTAGAAAATGGAATTCTAACATACCTACATTTTTGGAAGGTTTGCATAAAGAGAGTATTCATTCAGAATCATTTTCCTTCGTAAACGACGATAGTCCATTTTTAAAAATCTTAGGTCTACAATGGCACACAAGTGCAGATACATTTTCCTTTAAAATTGAACCAAAAATCGAAACGACTTGTACTAAAAGATTAATTCTGTCAAATATAGCTCGCATTTATGATCCGCTAGGATTTTTATGTCCTGTAACATTTTTTGCAAAACGCTTTATTCAGCAACTTTGGTGTCTAGGTATCGATTGGGATGAACTTCCCCCATCTACCGTTTGTGAAAAATGGCAGCAATTTATTTCCGACTTACCAAAAATTTCTAAATTTAATTTACCGCGTCGCTTTACTATACATAATTATGATTATTGTCAATTACACGGTTTTTCAGATGCATCTGAAAAGGAATACGCCGCAGTTAAGACAATAATTACTATACATTTTTTGTTATAGCAAAATCTAAGGTATTGCCTTTAAAAAGGGTTTCAATACCTCGCTTAGAATTACTTGGTGCCGTGTTACTTTCAAAATTAATGCAATTTATTTTGGAAACCTTTGAAAATAAGGTAAAATTTTCTGAAATTTACGCTTGGACTGACTCTTCAATCGCACTGACATAGATTAAATCGCCCACTCACAAATATAAAACTTTTGTAGCTAACAGAATTTCTTATATTCAAGATAGAATTCCACCTGCTCTGTGGCATCATGTTAGGTCAATCGAAAACCCCGCGGATTGCGCATCACGAGGTTCTTCAGTCTCGGAGTTATTAAGTAATAATACGTGGCTTACCGGTCCTCGGTGGTTATCCCAGAAGGATACATTTTGGCCTACGAATTTAAAAAAAACTTTAGAATCCGTCTCTCAGAAAGATCTTGAAGAAAAAACGTTAATATTTAAAGCATCTTGCTCCGACAATTTTATAGATGCTTTAATTGAAAAATATTCTTCACTTTTAAAACTAAAATTAGTTCTTTCGCATATTTTACGCTTTATTAATAATGCAAGAAATCACAATCGCATATCAGGCAATGTTACACATTTCGAATTAAATAGCGCATTAATGACCTTGGTGAAACACGTACAACATTATCATTTTTCTCAAGATATATCGCAACTGTTAAGGAAAAAATTGCCGTCTAGACCATTACGAAAACTTAACGTATTTCTTGATGAAAAGAATACTTTAAGAGTTGGCGGTCGGCTAAAACATTCTTCGCTTTCTTTTGACGCAAAATTCCCCGCACTACTGCCGAGAACCTCGCGTTTAACTAACATGATTATCGAAGACTTTCATATTTCATTTTTACACCCCGGTGTCCAAACTTTGCACTTCTTACTCGTACAACAATTTTGGATTTTATCCATGCGCCGCGCTATTAAGAAGTGTGTGTCCAATTGCATAAAATGTTGGCGCGTTTCTCCAAAACCCTATCAGCCTCCAATGGGCGATTTGCCCGCCGCTCGGGTTTCAGAACTTAAACCGTTTGCACATGTTGCTGTAGATTATGCGGGTCCATTTACCATTACTTTAGGAAAAATTAGAGGCGCAAAAACCTTCAAATCGTATATTTGCGTTTTCGTTTGCTTGAGTACAAAAGCAATTCACCTAGAACTAGCTTCAGATCTTAGCGCGGATGCATTTTTAACTTGCTTCCGACGCTTTTTAGCCCGTAGAGGCAGATGTGAAAAGGTCTACAGTGACTGCGGGACAAATTTTCAAGCAGGCTCTAAATACATTCACAATTTATTCAAAAATGCAGTCGAGAGCAATTACATTCAGTGGCACTTTAACCCGCCTTCGGCTCCGCATTTTTCTGGTCTCGCTGAAGCTGGCGTTAAATCGGTAAAAACGCATTTATATCGTGTAATCGGAGAACAAATTCTCACTTACGAAGAATTGTATACTTTGTTGTGTCAAATAGAGGCACTATTAAACTCCCGTCCGCTGTATCCTCTTAGTAACGACCCTAATGATTTATCAGTGTTGACACCTGGGCATTTTCTTAATTTGGAACCTTTGACAGCACTTCCAGATCCTGATTACACAACTTGCAAATTGAACTCTCTAAATAGATTTGAATTAATACAACGCTTTCGACAAGAATTTTGGCGCAGATACAGGGACGAATATTTGCACCATTTGCAACAGAGGCAGAAGTGGTTAGAACCCACTTCTCCCTCTGTCACCATAAATAAGCTTGTTCTCATAAAAAACGATATAATGCCTCCGCTAAAATGGAGTTTGGGGCGCATTATTGCTCTACATCCAGGTCGAGATGGCGTACCGAGAGTTGCCACCGTCCGAACTCAACAGGGTATTTTTAAAAGACCCTTAGTCAAGCTCTGTCCTTTACCAGAGCAGAATTAGCAAAAGTATATATATATTTTTTAATATACTTTTGGGGGGGGGAGTATGTTTATAAATTTAATTTATAATTCTTTCTTTTTTTTTATATATATATTTTACATTTAATTTGTATTTCTTATTAATATCAAGCTTATTTTTGTTGCTTAATTTATTCATAATTTATTCATAAAATGTCATGTCTTGAATCGGCACGATTCCGCCTGCGCGAGCGAGGAGAAGAAGAAAAGGAAAAACGACATGTGGCAGAAAGCAAATACGCGTATCCTAGGTAAAAGCAGTGCTCGCTAACCAAAACTTTTCGAAAAAACGCATAAAGATCCAGTGCCGGATAAAATTCAAAAGTCATCAAAGAAAACTACGACCAAGGGTAAGTGCCGATTCAATTCAATCAGTATTGCATACAGTCCATTTAATTTTTTTTTTCCTTTTTGTTGACATTGAACCAGCGCGTAACGCTAAGTAATATGAAATTTGCAACATACTGATTTGAAGATAATTGAAAACGGTACTTATTCAATTGCTGATATTATAACTGAAAACAGCAATGATGTTTAAAAAAGTGAAAAACTTTGATAATACGATGATTATGAAAATATAATAAACTCGTTTTAAAAACATAAATAAATAATTATTTGTATCTATATCTTTTTCTATATTCTATGCATACAATAAATAAATTACATATTAAATAAAAATTTCAAGATTTAAACATTATTACGAATTATTAAAACTAATAACTATTAACAATGGACTATGTATATCTACCATCGATATTATTATTTATATGAATATACAGCAACAATGAAATGTGTGAAATTTTAAGTAGTCGTAATAGGCTGATAGGGCTTCATAATATTTTAATGAAATCTTGATAATTGAATTCCACTCATTATGATATATTGATTTAAAAAAATCATCAAAATCGGAGACGTAGAAGCCGAGATATTGAACGCCGAAGAGGGCACGCTCTTTTTGAATGCGCTATTTCAATTTCTATCGTTCATCCCCTCCCCCCCCCGGTTTTGCGGCTCAAATGGTCGGCTTGGCGATCATTGAATTTTCATAGAAAAGGCACACGTGTGATAATATTTATAAAAGCACATACGAAAAGTTCTTAAAAAACCTACCAAATTCATATTTTGTTGTTGTTACATTATGCATAGTTTTGCAGCTAACGCTTGTTGACTTTGACACTCGATATCTCGGAACTTAAAAGACCGATTTGAACGTTCTTTTTTTCAAGTTAAGCGTCTTTCCGAGAACTGTTTTTTAGTACTTTGGTATATTTTCCAACCCGCAAAACCGCTTCACGAAAGTAATTGTTTATAAAGTAAAAATTTGTCTAACTTTTAAATTCGCTCCAAAAATTATTCAAAAAATGAAAATTGATATCCTAACGATTCTATATGATTGTTAAGGGGTCCAAGGGTCCAAGTAAGTGTAAAAAAATCAGCGCCAATTAAAATGCCTAACTTTAACCCCAGCACTCACGTAAAAAAAAATAACGACATTTCGCGCTGAAATTTAGTAACAAATTGTCTCATACCAATACTATCAGACCGATTTGGATTGGGTTTTGGAATTTCGTTTTATAATCGTTTAAAGTACTTACATCTATATTTATAGTAGAATTGGACAATTTCTTGCCTGTCAGTTTGACGCTTCCAAATTACCTCGATTTTCATCACTTTGTTATGTTGTTTTGGCTATTTAGCAACAAAAATATGACATGCGCAGGTATCAAAACAATTCTATCTTGTAGCAAATTTCATAACAAAGTATCAGTAATAGTTTTTTCTGTAAACTGCATATTTAAGAAGTTATGTTGGAAAATGTTAGAAAAAACACGTCATTTTTGAGTATTTTTGCAGTTTTTATTTTTTTCTGCAAATAGCACAACTTTTTTTCTTGGCGCAACCTTATATTTTCATTGTATATATTATTTTCGACCGATTTTTACTAATATCCAAATTACGTCAAGCAACAGCCATATCTCGAAGGTTTTGAGCTTAATTCTCTTGGACTAGTAGTGGGCCTCTCGCGTGGTCTAGTTCAGTGCCGGACCATTCGCACTAAACGTATCTGCCTTCCTGTATGTTTGTAGGCTTTTAAAACTACATATTGTTTTTGATTTGGCTTTTATGTAATTACCTTTGTTTTGGAATTTCCGTCTAGTTCGAATTCGACAGGTTGTTGAATTTTTAAAATCCACTCTGAACTAGTAGGGATTTTTACAATTTCTATATTTTTTATTGTTTAGAAACAATATGATGATTTATTGTTTTATGTCTCCTGAGAGTTTCCCAAATAAAATAAGATTTTAAACAAAAATATAATTTATCTTTATTTCTTCAGGTAGGCAAGTAATAGCAGTAGCTCGCACAGCTGATTTAGTTTTGATGATGCTAGATGCAACAAAAAAGGATGTACATCGACATTTACTAGAAAAGGAATTGGAAAGTGTAGGGATTAGATTAAACAAAAAGAAACCAAATATTTATTTTAAAGTATGTTTGTTTATACGTAATAGAAATAGGTACTAACTTTGTTTTAAAATTTCAGGTAAAAAAGGGAGGTGGTATATCATTTAATTCAACTTGTCCATTAACAAAAATAGATGAGAAATTAGTCCAAATGATATTACATGAATATAAAATTTTTAACGCTGAGGTTTTGTTTCGAGAAGATTGTACTGCAGATGAATTGATTGACGTTATTTGTGCCAATCGTGTATATCTCCCTTGCCTCTATGTCTACAATAAGATTGACCAGATTTCTATTGAAGAAGTTGATAGAATTGCAAGGCAACCAAATAGTGTGGTCGTGAGGTATATTTTTTATTGAATTATATCAGACAGTACAATTATTTTGGTGTGAATATACTATAGTGTGTTTACGCGCATGTGGTAGTATCACTAACGAACGAGACTGACAAACTCAAGGCACATATTGCCTTGGAAATTAGTGTTAGGCCAACCATCCTGATTTTCAAAGGTATCCCTATTTTTGGTCATTTTTTTCAAGTCCCATTTAAACTCCTGGCGTATGTCAAATATCTCGATTTTGGCTATTGGAAGATTAGTATATTATCATGATATTGCTACTACCACCTTTTGAAGGGTAAGAACTAAAATAATTTAAATACAAAAAAATGTTTTATAAGGTGTTAACGAAATAAGTACTCGAAATATGATGAAAACCTTTGTAGAGTTTTTGTCAGTGGCGGCCCCTAAGGGTGATACTGCTCCTTGGAGGAGTAACTCATGAAACAGTTTTTATTGCATAACTCCAAAACAGTTTAATATTAAATCACGAAATTTGGGGGTTGTTTTACTATTTATATGGTTAATAACTGGCATAATATACAAATCAAAATTTGCTACAGGGGCGTAAGAAAATGCGGAACAATAGGGTAAATTTTCCATTTTTTTGTACGCAATTTTTCTAGTTCCTGAACCGAAATTATGAAAATTTATTATACAGGGTGTCCCATATGCACCTGATCAAAAACGTACTGCGACATTCTTTGACTCAAAAGGAGATGATCTGACCTAACTTCAATTAAGAAAGAATGGCTAGCTCCTCTGCTATTGACTGTCAAAGTTCTTAAAAAAAAAAATGTTTTTGTAATATTTGGAGAATGTTACTATGGATTTTAATGAAACTTGCTGTGGACTTATTCCTAAGTAAGACTCGTGTTTTGATGAAGTAACCGCGTCCATCCGCCTTGGGCAAGTGGTAAATTCTTGAGTGTCTTGGTACAAGAATTACCAGAACTTTTTTATTGGTCGCTTGAATCAATTCTTTTTTTTTATTGATGCATCAGTCCTTTTTCGAGATTTCCGTGCTCTTGGTAAAATCTTGTAGCATTCATAGTTTTTACGCAAAAAAATATTTTCTGTTTTGTTGTGACTTAACAATTTTAGTCGTGTCATAGTAAATCTGCCCTTTCGCAAGAAGTGGCATTCTCTAATAAGTATGCCAATTCTTTTACCTAAGAATCAATATTGAAAACAAAATAATCACAATTTTAAAGTCTGTCATTATGCGATGGATTGAATTTCATTTTACTTCATTAGATTTATTTTTTGTTAACACGCAAAAAATGTAAAGACCTACTTAGGAAAGGCATAATTCTCTTTATTGAAACTGGATGATAGTTACAAAAATACGATAAATAGTTACAAAGATACGATAGATGAATTACAAAACATGTTCGATATGCCCGCCATTTTCTTGGATGCATAACTGGATCCTTCGATTAAAATTAAATTGAGCCCTTCTCAACATTTCTAGATCATTCCGTATTACGTCCGCCTCGTTTTGAATCCTCCGTAATAATTCTTCCTGGGATTGCACAGGAGTGGCGTAAACTTTCTTCTTTAAGGATCCCCATAGAAAAAAATCTAACGGCGTTAAGTCGGGGGGCCATTCGACAGGAACATCTCTCTTCTCCCGATCCGCTTGGGTGGAAAAGTATCATTTAAATATGCTGTTACATCTGCACTAAAGTACAGAGGAGCACCATCGTGCATGAACCACATCTGAGCACGAAGATCAAGAGGGACATCTTTCATTAGAATCGGAAAAGTATTCGTTAAAAAATTTAGATAATCTTCGCCATTCAAGCTGCGCGGCATGACATAAGGACCCAGAAGGATGTCACCAACGATCCCGGCCCAAAGATTTATAAGTCTTCTCTCAAAATCGTGTGGTAAAAGCTCCTGAATAGATGTCGCATAATAAGGATGGAGGAGCTGCTGTCTTATGATTCGATTAATTGTACTTTTTGGTACTTCAGCGACCCTATTTAAAACATCTTTCTCAACGGCTGCATTTCGAACTTGAGGACGACCCACACGGTCAACGGCTCGAACACCAACCCCCGCAAACTCCTTTCATTTTTTTTGAGTAAAAACTATGAACTACAAGATTTTACCAAGAGCACGAAAATTTCGAAAAAGGACTGATGCATCAATAAAAAAAATGAATTGATTCCAGCGACCAATAAAAAAGTTCTGGTAATTCTTGTACCAAGACATTCAAAAATTTACCACTTGCCCAAGGCGGATGGACGCGGTTGCTTCAGCAAAATATGAGTCTTAGGAACAAGTCCACAGCAAGTTTCATTAAAATCCATAGTAACATTCTCCAGATATTACAAAAAACTTTTTTTCAAACACTTTTACAATCAATAGCAGAGAAGCCAGACATTTTTTCTTAATGGAAGTTAAGTCAGATCATCTTCTTTTGAGCCAAAGAATGTCGCAGTACCTTTTTGATCATGAGCTTATGGGACACCCTGTATTTTGCATAAAAATGCACTCTTGTTAGATTTTAATAGCATTAGCCGTTTTCTAGTAAAATCCATTTCAATAATTCATTACGTGCTCAAAAATTCCTGCTGAAAATAAATGTATCAAATTGTGCCATGGGAAAATGACTATTTATGTGTCAAGTATATGTCAATTACTAATTAGATTACGTACTCAATATTCCACTCTAATAAACATAGAATAAACTAAATTATAATAGAGCTATGTTGTAGACGTACTTTTACCGCAAAGTATTTAATATATTTTAAATTCTTGCTGATATAATTGGATTTGAAAAAGATGAGGCATCAAAATAATTTTATGTTTATTTTTCTGCTAATACAAAAACTTGTTATTTTGTCAATAATTTTCCTTAGCTACCACAGACCCTAGCTGATCTGATAAACATAAATAAGTCTTACATACAAAGATAAGTAATAAGACCATCACTACAGCTAATAAAACAATCATTACAGCTACTCCCCCTTCAAAAAAATATATATCAATTTAAAACGAACGTAACCTTTTTCTTTTAATAATTGCTACATGACATGTTTTATAAATTTTCTGCCAATATAAATGCAGGTTTGACTCTATTTAAGCTGGCCACCATTTCTTTATTATCTTTGAAAATAACTAATGTTTTGTCGAATTTCTTAATAATCTTGTAAGGACCTTCATACTTAGGTAATAAACAATATTTAAGTTTTTCGGCCCTTAAAAATATGTACTAGCAACTGCCAGCGCTTGTCAGGTATAAATTTATTTATTAAATTACAATCCAATTACTAAAGCAAATTATATTGCCTACTGCTGAATCAAAGTCGTTGTTTGCAAAAGAATTTGTAAACTATAGCTATACATATTTTATTTCCTTATTATTGTTCTGTCATCAGTATGTTATCAAACTTAATATGGCAACGGTAAATAATAACAGTAGCCATAGTACTATTATTGCACTAATATCCACATCCCTCACGATAAGATTGTGCGATACTGTTGTTCTTGTTTATTATTCTGATTAGATTTTAAACCTAGCACGTTTTTTTGAATGGCGTGCACTCATTACTTGACCTTTCCCTCGGGCCGCGCTGCGCGCGACTCGAGCAGCGCTTCGCGGTGCGTTCTCTGTGCGTTGGTAAATAATATATTACATTTTCCCCAAAAAAAAAAGGAATGGACCCGCCGGCGATTCGAACCCCGGACCATCGGCTTCGCAATCGAGAGTTTACAAAATGAGCTACGGTAATCTAACGCTGGGTGGAGCCTGCAGGGCTATTTAAAACGTAGGTTCTCCGCGAATGTAAACAAAAAATTGAAAATGTTCAATTCAAGTTTTGTCGCCAAAGTTGCATCTCTAAAAGATTGGAACCGATGCCTAACGGCAATGCAACGACTCACCGTGGCCCGATCGTCCGGGAAAACGCGTCAAATAACAAAATTTATTTTGACGTCTTCACTGACAGCTTTTAATATATTTGGATTTACAGGTTAACAAGTCTGTGGAAATAAAAGGTTTATTATTTGAATGATTACTAGGCGTAGTAAGTTTAATATTAGCGAAAGCCTCTCGTAAACCAGTGAGTACAGGATAAGTGTCAATGCTCTGCTGTGAATTGATAAAGAATTCACCTGGTAGTCTCAAAGGTTGACCATACTAGTTCTGCTGAAGAGCAGTTTAGATCAGTTTTAATAGATGCTCTTATTCCTAAAAGAACTATCAGTGGTTCTTTGACCCAATTATTGGTTTCGCATTTTGCGATCAGAGCAGCTTTAAGTGTTTTATGGAATCTTTCTACTAGTCCATTACTTTGCGGATGGTAAGTAGTAGTATGAATCCTGTAAATTCTTGCAAAAGTTTTGATTCAAAAACTGATCCTTGATCTGCTGTTATAGTATTGGGTATACCAAAACGACAAAAATATTCTTAAACAGTTTTTTTACTATAGTTTCTGTATTAACATTAGACAGAGGATAAGCTTCAGGCCATCTAGTGAATTTTTCAACCACTGTCAAAATATAACGATCATTTTGTGATATTAATGGGCCTACATATCAATATGAATGTGTTCAAAACGACCCTTAGGTATATTAATAGAGCTAATTGGAGATTTAGTATGTCTTGTAATTTTAGCTTTTTGACAATCTATGCAAGCTTTTGTCCATAGAGTGATCTCTGCATTCATTTTTGACCAAAAATATCTTGAATTTATTAATTTTTTTGTTGCACGTATTCCCGGATGAGAAATTCTATGAAGTTCGTTAAATATTTTAAATCGAAAGTTTTTGGGAACATAAATTCTGGGCGAAGAAGAAACTTCGCACCAAATTCTTTCTTCAGAGAGAGGTATATTTTCTTGTTTCAACAAATATTTACAATTTTTGTTACTCTGATTTTTTTAATAAAAAAAAATAAGATCTGGATCATCCTGTTGATCTTATCTTAGTAGTTCTAAATCAATAGTTTTGTGAGAATCTAAACTACTTTGCTTCATCTGTACGTGATAAACAAT